TACAGCAGCAGTAGTAGTAGCAGCAGTAGCAGCAGCAGCAGCAGCAACAACAACAACAGCAACAACAACAACAACAATAGCAGCATTACCACCACCACCACAACAAACAACAACAACAGCAACAACAACAACAACAATAGCAGCATTACCACCACCACCACCACAACAAACAACAAACAACAGCAACAAAAACAGGAACAACAATAATAATATGTAAAAAGTACACGCTTCTTAATTAAGGCTTTGCCAGTTTGTTCTGAAGGTACAGGTCAGGCATCTGAAAAGTTCAATCATATTGGACTAGATCTAAAGCAAATGTTGCACAGCACAAAGGTTTCGATGAGGCCAGTACAAACCAATTTCTTTAAGTTTGAACTTTAGTCAAACGCATTTACCTCACTTTATGTCCTTGGAATTGGTGCGTATTTTTTTCAGGAGATAGAAGACCGCCCCGTTATCTGGCAGTGAAAGCCAAGAGTGCCACGACACGGTGGGATCAGACACTCGTTATTGGTTTCATCTTAAAGCTTGTTCTTTTATCTCGCTTTTGATGAAAAAAATTATCCCCATGTGTTTCTGCTTTGTGTACAATGGTTCGAATGTGCGGCTTGGACCCACCTCTGGGCTCCTAACTCTTTCTGCAGCCCCTCTACTACAACTTCTTGACTATTTTTTACTGCTGACTCTCGGCCACACCCCTGATCTTATTGAGGGAAAGATCTCACAACTAGCCTTCTCGAACAAGGGCGAAAAATCTCGGAGGTCCCGTGTGCAAGTGGCGCACGTTATAAATATCCTTTGTTGGTCCAAAATCGATAAGAGTAGGCTTCGGCCGCCACCCCGGCAAAAATTAAAAATTCCTACCCACTGAAAATGTTTAATGTGTCCCGCGCACTCGTAATAATATGACCGTATGCAGTTGCGAGCGCCGTAAAAACACCGACCAAAGCAGAAAAAAAGATAATGGAAAAAAAAAAGAAAAAGAACCAAAAAGAAAAATGAACTTGCGGCTATACTGCTTTTGGCCTGCTGATGATCAGACAGCGCCTTGATTAAAAAGTAAAATGGTATTAAAGGACAGAGCTACCAACCTTGTTGTTTAGAAGATCACGAAGACAACAGTGACGTATTGAAGGGGAACGCCCTTACTTATAGCCTACTTGAGGCGGCCTGAAAAAAACAAAACAAGAACAAAAAATATGTTACATTCTTTCTTATGGTAAACCTTTGTATTTGAATAGTGTAAGCTTTATGTCCAATGGCATTGCTTATTGCGTAGACAAACAGATAAGAAAAATATGCGGTTATTTTTTTTAGCACGAGTTCCTGTTCCGACCATCTTCACTTATGACATGACTACAGTTATTCTACACCAGAAAATAGTGGAGGCAGAAGTGATATCTAGTGGAAGAAAACCATGAGCGGTATAACGAAAACAATTGTTCTTTCATCAGCAGCAACAGCAGCAAAACCAACAGAAACAACAATAACCAACAACAGTTGTATAAAAAAATATATAATAATAATAATAATAATAATAATGGTTTTAAATTGACGATTTTCGGTCAATTATGGTATCTGGACTTTTTACGTATTATAATATTCCAAATCACGTGTTAATCTAAAAAGTGCTTACTCTTTTGTTACAATCGTCATCTTTCAGATTTTCTGTCCTAGAACTTTCATTTTTCCTATTATGTAACAAAATGTCGGTTTTTTTCTTCTAAAAACGTCAATTTCTGATGTTTTTTCGCATCTACTTTAATTTTTCTTTTTGATTTCAATGAAATTTTCAGGGTTTGTTATTTATACCACAACCTAACTTTATACAGGTGGAAAATAAAATCGATGGGTTCATAAGTGAGTTACATGGATGAATATGTAATTGAATTCAGAGGCATGAAGGGGTAGGTCAGTTATCCATCTGTAACTTTTTTCCTATTCAAGATATCCAAAATCCCAACTCTATCAAATGTTGTATTGAGTATAATATCTATCTATGTACCAAATTTGAATTGATAAATAAAAAATCTTTTTTACTTTTATGAAAGCTGTTTACTTTCAATATGACGACCGTTACCATGGCAACCATAGACTTAAACAAAAAAAATAAATTAAAGCTACATTTTACAGATGTTTTCAGGTTGTACCTCCTTCCTATAAAAGGCTTTATCTAAAAAGGTCATAGTTACCGAAATAGGTTTATGAACCACCCCCCCTCCCCCTTAAGGTTTCTTTCTTATCCTCCTATTATGGTTTGCAGCCCACTGTGACTGCTGCTCTCCAACTGGGTCTGCCAGGAGCTAATAGTAATCATAATAATTTCCTAGGGTTTATGTTGAAGTCCTTCAAAGAATTTTCAGGGTGTTTTGTAACGTTATTTTGTTGTACTACCTTAGCGCTACCCCGAAGACAGTTCAGAATTCAGTGCTGAATTTGGGATTCTGAAATCAAGCATTCTTACGGAATGGCCAGCCAAGCGAAGTTGAGACCTTTTGAGTTGAGAAAACAGACTTCGACTTCCTTTTGAGAACTTTAGTGTTTTATATCTAATTATGCCTTTTGATATTAAGAACTTTCCTGAAGCATTTCACGTGGAGATGATTAAGCTTCTTGGCATGGCTTTGATACACCGTCTAGGTCTCTGTTATATACAGCATGGGTGGAAGGATCACAACAATGTAGACTTTCAACTTTGTCTGTGTTCGAATGTTACAGCATTCCCAATCCCCTGCTCCTAGTCTTCTTGACAATGCATTAGCTTTATTCCTACGTAAGGCTATTTCTGCACCAAAGTGGGCATTTGAAGATCCTGTAATGCCAATATATTATTTTTAAGTTGTCAACGTTGTTCAGCGTTGTTCTCTGTTTTTTGATTTCGGGAGGGAGGGTCTGCCTATTACTAGGGGCAGGCTGGAAGAGAACTTCGGAATTTGCTGTTCTTATTGTGAGTTCAATGTTTTCGCATGTATTTGAAAAGAGATCAGCACAGTGACGTATGCAGGACTTTTCTTGAACAAGTAATGTACACTCAGAGGGAAATGACAGTTCGTAGACATGCACCATCCTAGTTTTTGTCTTTCCCTGCCCAGCCTGTACCTGATGGCAACGCCAGCAGAGCTCTGAGATTCTTCATGCATCATTGCTGAGAATATCACTGAATACATCGCTGAGAACATGATTCTAAAAAATGTTGGGCCCAAGACACAGCCCTGCATTTCTTCATTTGTCAAACAAAAGGCTTTGGGTACCTCGCTATTGGTCTTGACACTGTCTTTCATGTCGTCATGAAATTGGCGAACCAAAGTAATGAACTCTGGCGGGCAACCGTACTTAGCCAGGGTTTTTTTATAAGCCTTTTCGACTAACGATATCGACGGAATTTGTTACATGTTACATGAACAAGGGTCATGTATACGGTTTTATTCTGCTCTAAACACTTCTTCTGGATTTTCGTAGCTGTAAAGTTCATGTCAGCTGTGCCCCTTTTGGTGCAGAAGTCACACTGTCTGGCAAGGCGTAATTTAATCAGAAATGATTTAATTAACAGGCGATTAAGAAGAGAATTGAAAACAGGATCTTACCATCTAGACACAAGAGGGTTATACAATGCCCCTGTGATTGTCACAAGATTGCCTGTCACCTCTTTTTTTTGGTATAAATAAATGATGATTACATCCCTGAAAACCACGGGGAATACTTTCAGATTGCCACATTTCGTTACCCTAGAATTACAAAGTTCTATTTGCCTAGTACTTAGTTTTGAGAAATTTGACGTCAATGTTTTTAGTTTCACTTTAGCCTTTTCGAAGGCAATTCTTTGAATATCTTGATAACGAGTCCGAATAATCTTACGATTTTGATAAAGCAGATGGAACATTTTGTTTCTGACCTCATGGTCTTAGTAACTCAAAATGACCAAAAATACCAGAGAGAACTTTGTTATTCTGAGGTGGTGATTTGACATAATAGTTCCGTCAGTGCCACAACATGACAAGGCGGTCTCCGCCTAAAGGGCGACAGTGCTGTCTTTAAAAGGCTGCTCAGATACTACGAGTGCTTCCAGACCATACCTTCACCTCAACTCAGTAATGAAATTATCAAAGCCCATGGTCACATTAGGGGCAGATTTGTGCTAACACACCCCAACCTATGCAAGCCTGCAGCTACCACACTCACCCATCGCCTAAGAATTGAGAGAAAGACGACAACGAAAAGGGAAACGATAAATAATAGTAAATGTCTGACTTGCGCAAAGGAGAATGAGCGGCGCAACACCAGACTCACTATTTACAATGCATTTGGTGGTAGGATAGATACAAGACGATCAGACTGGTATTTAGGTGTGAGAGGTTGTCAGAATGCCGTTTATGTAGAAGGGCAGACCGCCTAGAGG